ATGAAATTTGCTAGAAAAACTGTCTCTGACGAATTTTGCTCTCAAAGTAGACTCTGTTCATTTTTAGGTATAAATTGGACTCTGATGAAATATGAGCTTAAAACTGTCTCTGACTAATTTTGCTCTCAAAGTAGACTCTGGCGAATTTTCGGTATAAACTGGACTCTGATGAAATATGAGCTTAAAACTGGGCTCTGTTCAATTTTGCTCTTTACAGATGAAATAGCCGTAAATGGATATAAAACTAAATGTTATGGATAAGTTGCCTGTTTTCCTTAACAAAACATCTAAGACAATATTCTCTGAAAATGGTCCTTTTACAAATTCGGTCATAAACATATAAATAAACTTCTATGATTATTTGAAACTCTGAAAATAGCTGTAAGGAAATAGGAGGAGAGAGAGAGAGAGAGGGACGGTCCAGATATTATTATGGAGAAGATAAGATACGATTACAGAGGTGACCTGAAGGTCGTGTCTGGCTGACGTCTAAAGTAAACACAGTGATGCGACAGATTGCGAGGTAAGGGGGGAGGGAGGGGGTGTGGTTCAATTACAGGTACACATAAACACACATAGCTTCACGTGTCTGTCGGTCTTGACAATAGTACACATGGATATGCACACAAAACAGTCCGTACTCGTATGACATTATTTTTAATTATAAGAACTTTAACAACTTCTAAAAATCTGTGACTGACAAAATTTACCTGAAAACCCTGGCTCATAAACATGAATTTGAATTTCTCCCATAAGGCCTTAACAAACTTCTAAGTCTCGGAAATTATTTTTATGATAAGACTTTAACAAACTTCTAAGTCTCGGAAATTATTTTTCTCATAAGAAATCCTTACTTTTAAAATCTGTGACTGACAAAAAAAAAAAAATTGCCTGTGGCGCTTACAGTCCACAGGGGTCCTCTCCCCCAAAAAAAAAATTGCCTGTGGCGCTTACATTCCACAGGGGTCCTCTCCCCCCCCAAAAAAAAAGGGCCGCTGGCGCTTACATGCTCCACCACCTAGGGGAGTGTGTCCCACCTCCTGGGGGAGTGTGCTCCACCACCTGGGGGAGTGTGTCCCACCACCTGGGGGAGGGTGCTCCACCACCTAGGGGAGGGTGCTCCACCACCTGGGGGAGTGTGTCCCACCACCTGGGGGAGGGTGCTCCACCACCTGGGGTAGTGTGCTCCACCACCTGGGGGAGTGTGTCCCACCACCTGGGGGAGGGTGCTCCACCACCTGGGGTAGTGTGCTCCACCACCTGGGGGAGTGTCCCACCACCTGGGGGAGGGTGCTCCACCACCTGGGGTAGTGTGCTCCACCACCTGGGGGAGTGTGTCCCACCACCTGGGGGAGTGTGTCCCACCACCTGGGGTAGTGTGCTCCACCACCTGGGGGAGGGTGCTCCACCACCTGGGGTAGTGTGTCCCACCGCCTGGGGGAGGGTGCTCCACCACCTGGGGGAGGGTGCTCCACCACCTGGGGGAGGGTGCTCCACCACCTGGGGGAGGGTGCTCCACCACCTGGGGGAGGGTGCTCCACCACCTGGGGTCATCATCCATGATTGGCGAGTGACTGATGAGTGACGGGTGAGTGACAGGTGAGTGACAGGCGAGTGACGGGTGAGTGAGGTGCGAGTGACGGGTGAGTGAGGTGTGAGTGACAGGTGAGTGAGGGTTGAGTGACGGGTGAGTGAGGGTTGAGTGCCGGGTGAGTGAGGGGTGAGTGACGGGTGAGTGAGGGGTGAGTGACGGGTGAGTGAGGGGTGAGTGACGGGTGAGGGGTGAGTGACGGGTGAGTGAGGTGTGAGTGACGGGTGAGGGACGTGTGAGTGACGGGTGAGTGAGGTGTGAGTGACGGGTGAGTGACGGGTGAGTGAGGGTTGAGTGCCGGGTGAGTGACGGGTGAGTGAGGGGTGGGTGACGGGTGAGTGAGGGGTGAGTGACGGGTGAGGGGTGAGTGAGGTGTGAGTGACGTGTGAGTGACGGGTGAGTGAGGTGTGAGTGACGGGTGAGTGAGGTGTGAGTGACGGGTGAGTGAGGTGTGAGTGACGGGTGAGTGACAGGTGAGTGACGGGGGAGTGACAGGTGAGTGACGGGTGAGTGCCAGGTGAGTGACGGGTGAGTGCCAGGTGAGTGACGGGTGAGTGCCAGGTGAGTGACGGGGGAGTGCCGGGTGAGTGACGGGGGAGGTATCAAGTGTAGAGTAAAGGGTTATAAGAGGCCAGACGGATTTTTATCATCTCCCCCTTCATTAAACTTGCATTGTAGGAAAGAATGATTTAATAGGGTTTCATGGTAGGTAGGTAGCCTCCAGGGGCTGGCTCTTAGTGGTGCAGGGCTAGGGGCTGGCTCTTAGTGGTGCTGGGCTAGGGCTGGCTCTTAGTGGTGCAGGGCTAGGGGCTGGCTCTTAGTGGTGCAGGGATAGGGGCTGGCTCTTAGTGGTGCAGGGCTAGGGCTGGCTCTTAGTGGTGCAGGGCTAGGGGCTGGCTCTTAGTGGTGCAGGGCTAGGGGCTGGCTCTTAGTGGTGCAGGGCTAGGGGCTGGCTCTTAGTGGTGCAGGGCTAGGGGCTGGCTCTTAGTGGTGCAGGGCTAGGGGCTGGCTCTTAGTGGTGCTGAGCTAGGGGCTAGCTCTTAGTGGTGCTGGGCTAGGGGCTGGCTCTTAGTGGTGCAGGGCTAGGGACTGGCTCTTAGTGGTGCAGGGCTAGGGGCTGGCTCTTAGTGGTGCAGGGCTAGGGGCTGGCTCTTAGTGGTGCAGGGCTAGGGCTGGCTCTTAGTGGTGCAGGGCTAGGGACTGGCTGCAGGGCTAGGGGCTGGCTCTTAGTGGTGCAGGGCTAGGGGCTGGCTCTTAGTGGTGCAGGGCTAGGGGCTGGCTCTTAGTGGTGCAGGGCTAGGGGCTGGCTCTTAGTGGTGCAGGGCTAGGGGCTGGCTCTTAGTGGTGCAGGGCTAGGGGCTGGCTCTTAGTGGTGCAGGGCAGGGGCTGGCTCTTAGTGGTGCAGGGCTAGGGCTGGCTCTTAGTGGTGCAGGGCTAGGGGGGCTCTTAGTGCTGCAGGGCTAGGGTGCTCTTAGTGCAGGGCTAGGGGCTGGCTCTTAGTGGTGCAGGGCTAGGGGCTGGCTCTTAGTGGTGCAGGGCTAGGGGCTGGCTCTTAGTGGTGCAGGGCTAGGGGCTGGCTCTTAGTGGTGCGGGCTAGGGGCTGGCTCTTAGTGGTGCAGGGCTAGGGGCTGGCTCTTAGTGGTGCAGGGCTAGGGCTGGCTCTTAGTGGTGCAGGGTTAGGGGCTGGCTCGTAGTGGTGCAGGGCTAGGGGCTGGCTCTTAGTGGTGCAGGGCTAGGGGCTGGCTCTTAGTGGTGCAGGGCTAGGGGCTGGCTCTTAGTGGTGCAGGGCTAGGGGCTGGCTCTTAGTGGTGCAGGGTTAGGGGCCAGGGGCTGGCTCTTAGTGGTGCAGGGTTAGGGGCCAGGGGCTGGCTCTTAGTGGTGTAGGGCCAGGGGCTGGCTCTTAGTGGTGCTGGGCTAGGGACAGGGGCTGGGCTTTGGGACCATTGGTCGGGGGCTAGACACCAGGGGGTTGGGCGTTAGGGACCAGGTGATGGGGACTAGGAATCAGTTGTTAGCCAGGTACCAGGTGGTTGGATCCAGGGACCAGGTGGTAACTAGGGGCTAGGAGGTGTCAGGGGCCTCGTTGAGCTCCAGCGGCGACACTGCGTCACTGCGCACTCTACCGTGGGCTGTGTACTCACTTGCCCTCGTGATGAAGGCGGCACCTAGCCCCTGAGTGCACCTGCACCAAAACACAGAGACCTCGCAGCACCTCTGGGGACTCACTGAGCTACCCTCTGTCCCCAGAGAGCGGGAGGACCAGCGGCAGGTGTCAAGGAGCGGCAGGTGTCAAGGAGAGGCAGGTGTCAAGGAGCGGCAGGTGTCAAGGAGCGGCAGGTGTCAAGGAGAGGCAGGTGTCAAGGAGAGGCAGGTGTCAAGGAGCGGCAGGAGTTAAGGAGTTATATATATATATATATATATATATATATATATATATATATATATATATATATATACATATATATATATATATATATATATATATATATATATATATATATGTCGTACCTAATAGCCAGAACGTACTTCTCAGCCTACTATGCAAGGCCCAATTTGCATAATAAGCCAAGTTTTCCTTAATTAATATATTTTCTCTAATTTTTTTCTTATGAAATGATAAAGCTACCCATTTCATTATGTATAAGGTCAATTTTTTTTATTGGAGTTAAAATTAACGTAGATATATGACCGAACCTAACCAACCCTACCTAACCTAACCTAACCTATCTTTATAGGTTAGGTTTGGTTAGGTAGCCGAAAAAGTTAGGTTAGGTTAGGTTAGGTAGGTTAGGTAGTCAAAAAACAATTAATTCATGAAAACTTGGCTTATTAGGCAAATCGGGCCTTGAATAGTAGGCTGAGAAGTGCGTTCTGGCTATTAGGTACGACATATATATATATATATATATATATATATATATGTAATATATAATGTGTGTGTTTTGACACATTAATATATTATATAATATATGACGGGCATAACCATAAGGAAGGTACATACATGCACAGTGTTTAAAACTAAAAAGATCATTTACTGACAAAAGAATTGCATAAATAAATAATAATTTATTTATGAGGTACCACCAGTCCCCGCGAGCGACCCCCCCCCCCCCCCCCCCAACAAGCCAGCCCCCGCCAGCGACCCCCCCCCCAACAAGCCAGCCCCCGCCAGCGACCCCCAACAAGCCAGCCCCCGCCAGCGACCCCCAACAAGCCAGCCCCCGCCAGCGACCCCCCCCCCCCCAACAAGCCAACCCCCGCCAGCGACCCCCAACAAGCCAGCCCCCGCCAGCGACCCCCAACAAGCCAGCCCCCGCCAGCGACCCCAACAAGCCAGCCCCCGCCAGCGACCCCCCCCCCCAACAAGCCAGCCCCCGCCAGCGACCCCCAACAAGCCAGCCCCCGCCAGCGACCCCCCAACAAGCCAGCCCCCGCCAGCGACCCCCAACAATCCAGCCCCCGCCAGCGACCCCCAACAAGCCAGCCCCCGCCAGCGACCCCCCAACAAGCCAGCCCCCGCCAGCGACCCGCCAGCGACCCCCAACAATCCAGCCCCCCGCCAGCGACCCCCAACAAGCCAGCCCCCCGCCAGCGACCCCCAACAAGCCAGCCCCCTCCAGCGACCCCCCAACAAGCCAGCCCCCGCCAGCGAACCCCAACAATCCAGCCCCCCGCCAGCGACCCCCAACAAGCCAGCCCCCGCCAGCGACCCCCCAACAAGCCAGCCCCCCGCCAGCGACCCCCAACAAGCCAGCCCCCGCCAGAGACCCCCCAACAAGCCAGCCCCCGCCAGCGACCCCCAACAAGCCAGCCCCCCGCCAGCGACCCCCAACAAGCCAGCCCCCGCCAGCGACCCCCAACAAGCCAGCCCCCCGCCAGCGACCCCAACAAGCCAGACCCCGCCAGCGACCCCCCAACAAGCCAGCCCCCGCCAGCGACCCCCAACAAGCCAGCCCCCGCCAGCGACCCCCAACAAGCCAGCCCCCGCCAGCGACCCCCAACAAGCCAGCCCCCGCCAGCGACCCCCAACAAGCCAGCCCCCGCCAGCGACCCCCAACAAGCCAGCCCCCGCCAGCGACCCCCAACATCCCAGCCCCCGCCAGCGACCCCCAACAAGCCAGCCCCTGCCAGCGACCCCCAACAAGCCAGCCCCCGCCAGCGACCCCCAAAAAGCCAGCCCCCGCCAGCGACCCTCAACAAGCCAGCCCCCCGCCAGCGACCCCCCAACAAGCCAGCGACCCCCCAACAAGTCAGCCCCCGCCAGCGACCCCCAACAAGCCAGCCCCCGCCAGCGACCCCCAACAAGCCAGCCCCCCGCCAGCGACCCCCAACAAGCCAGACCCAGCCAGCGACCCCCCAACAAGCCAGCCCCCGCCAGCGACCCCCAACAAGCCAGCCCCCGCCAGCGACCCCCAACAAGCCAGCCCCCGCCAGCGACCCCCAACAAGCCAGCCCCGCCAGCGACCCCCAACAAGCCAGCCCCCGCCAGCGACCCCCAACAAGCCAGCCCCCGCCAGCGACCCCCAACAAGCCAGCCCCTGCCAGCGACCCCCAACAAGCCAGCCCCCGCCAGCGACCCCCAACAAGCCAGCCCCTGCCAGCGACCCCCAACAAGCCAGCCCCCGCCAGCGACCCCCAACAAGCCAGCCCCCGCCAGCGACCCCCAACAAGCCAGCCCCCCGCCAGCGACCCCCCAACAAGCCAGCCCTTGCCAGCGACCCCCCCAACAAGCCAGCCCCCGCCAGCGACCCCCAACAAGCCAGCCCCCGCCAGCGACCCCCCAACAAGTCAGCCCCCGCCAGCGACCCCCAACAAGCCAGCCCCCGCCAGCGACCCCCAACAAGCCAGCCCCCCGCCAGCGACCCCCAACAAGCCAGACCCCGCCAGCGACCCCCCAACAAGCCAGCCCCCGCCAGCGACCCCCAACAAGCCAGCCCCCGCCAGCGACCCCCAACAAGCCAGCCCCCGCCAGCGACCCCCAACAAGCCAGCCCCCGCCAGCGACCCCCAACAAGCCAGCCCCCGCCAGCGACCCCCAACAAGCCAGCCCCCGCCAGCGACCCCCAACAACCCAGCCCCCGCCAGCGACCCCCAACAAGCCAGCCCCTGCCAGCGACCCCCAACAAGCCAGCCCCCGCCAGCGACCCCCAACAAGTCAGCCCCCGCCAGCGACCCCCAACAAGCCAGCCCCCAGCCAGCGACCCCCCAACAAGCCAGCCCTTGCCAGCGACCCCCCAACAAGCCAGCCCCCCGCCAGCGACCCCCAACAAGCCAGTCCCCGCCAGCGACCCCCAACAAGCCAGCCCCCGCCAGCGTCCCCCAACAAGCCAGCCCCCGCCAGCGACCCCCAACAAGCCAGCCCCCCGCCTGCGACCCCCCAACAAGCCAGCCCCCGCCAGCGACCCCCAACAAGCCAGCCCCCGCCAGCGACCCCCAACAAGCCAGCCCCCGCCAGCGACCCCCAACAAGCCAGCCCCCGCCAGCGACCCCCAACAAGCCAGTCCCCGCCAGCGACCCCCAACAAGCCAGCCCCCCGCCAGCGACCCCCAACAAGCCAGCCCCCGCGAGAGACCCCCCAACAAGCTAGCCCCCCGCCAGCGACCCCCAACAAGCCAGCCCCCGCCAGCGACCCCCAACAAGCCAGCCCCCGCCAGCGACCCCCAACAAGCCAGCCCCCGCCAGCGACCCCCAACAAGCCAGTCCCCGCCAGCGACCCCCAACAAGCTAGCCCTCCGCCAGCGACCCTCCAACAAGCCAGCCCCCGCGAGAGACCCCCAACAAGCCAGCCCCCGCCAGCGACCCCCAACAAGCCAGCCCCCCGCCAGCGACCCCCAAAAAGCCAGCCCTCGCCAGCGACCCCCCAACAAGCCAGCCCCCGCCAGCGACCCCCAACAAGCCAGCCCCCGCCAGCGACCCACAACAAGCCAGCCCCCGCCAGCGACCCGCCAACAAGCCAGCCCCCCGCCAGCGACCCGCCAACAAGCCAGCCCCCGCCAATGACCCCCCAACAAGCCAGCCCCCGCCAGCGACCCCCAACAAGCCAGCCCCCGCCAGCGACCCCCAACAAGCCAGTCCCCCGCGAGCGACCCCCAACAAGCCAGTCCCCGCCAGCGACCCCCAACAAGCCAGTCCCCGCCAGCGACCCCCAACACGCCAGTCCCCGCCAGCGACCCCCAACAAGCCAGTCCCCGCGAGCGACCTCCAACAAGCCAGTCCCCGCCAGCGACCCCCAACAAGCCAGTCCCCGCCAGCGACCCCCAACAAGCCAGTCCCCGCCAGCGACCCCCAACAAGCCAGTCCCCGCGAGCGACTCCCAACAAGCCAGCCCCCCTCCAGCGACCCCCAACAAGCCAGACCCCCGCTAGCGACCCCCCAACAAGCCAGCCCCGCCAGCGACCCCCAACAAGCCAGCCCCCGCCAGCGACCCCCAACAAGCCAGCCCCCGCCAGCGACCCCCAACAAGCCAGCCCCCGCCAGCGACCCCCAACATGCCAGCCCCCGCCAGCGACCCCCCAACAAGCCAGCCCCCGCCAGCGACCCCCAACAAGCCAGCCCCCGCCAGCGACCCCAACAAGCCAGCCCCCGCCAGCGACCCCCCAACAAGCCAGCCCCCGCCAGCGACCCCCCAACAAGCCAGCCCCCGCCAGCGACCCCCCAACAAGCCAGCCCCCGCCAGCGACCCCCCAACAAGCCAGCCCCCGCCAGCGACCCCCCAACAAGCCAGCCCCCGCCAGCTACCCCCCAATAACCCAGCCCCCGCCAGCGACCCTCCAACAAGCCAGCCCCCGCCAGCGACCCCCCAACAAGCTAGCCCCCGCCAGCGACCCCCCAACAAGCCAGCCCCCGCCAGCGACCCCGCAACAAGCCAGCCCCCGCCAGCGACCCCCCAACAAGCCAGCCCCCGCCAGCGACCCCCCAACAAGCCAGCCACCCCCCAACAAGCCAGCCCCCGCCAGCGACCCCCAACAAGCCAGCCCCGCGAGCGACCTCCCAACAAGCCAGCCCCCGCCAGCGACCCCCAACAAGCCAGCCCCCGCCAGCGACCCCCAACAAGCCAGCCCCCGCCAGCGACCCCCAACAAGCCAGTCCCCGCGAGCGACCCCCAACAAGCCAGCCCCCGCGAGCGACCCTCAACAAGCCAGCCCCCGCCAGCGACCCCCAACAAGCCAGTCCCCGCCAGCGACTCCCAACAAGCCAGTCCCCGCCAGCGACCTCCCAACAAGCCAGCCCCCGCCAGCGACCCCCCAACGAGCCAGTCCCCGCCAGCGACCCCCAACAAGCCAGTCCCCGCCAGCGACCCCCAACAAGCCAGTCCCCGCGAGCGACCCCCAACAAGCCAGCCCCCGCCAGCGACCCCCCAACAAGCCAGCCCCCCGCCAGCGGCCCCCAACAAGCCAGCCCGGCCAGCGACCCCCAACAAGCCAGCCCCCGCCAGCGACCCCCCAACAAGCCAGCCGCCGCCAGCGACCCCCAACAAGCCAGCCCCCGCCAGCGACCCCCCAACAAGCCAGCCCCCGCCAGCGACCCCCAACAAGCCAGCCCCCGCCAGCGACCCCCCAACAAGCCAGCCCCCGCCAGCGACCCCAACAAGCCAGCCCCCGCCAGCGACCCCCCAACAAGCCAGCTGAGTGTGTCCTCCCCCACGTGGGGGGACACACTCAGTGCTGGGAGGGTCGTGGGGGGTGGACACACTCAGGGCTGGGAGGGTCGGGGGGGGGGGTGGACACACTCAGGGCTGGGAGGGTCGTGGGGGGGGACACACTCAGGGCTGGGAGGGTCGGGGGGGGGGGGGGTGGACACACTCAGGGCTGGGAGGGTCGGGGGGGGGGTGGACACACTCACGGCTGGGAGGGTCGTGGGGGGGGGACACACTCAGGGCTGGGAGGGTCGGAGGGGGGGGGTGGACACACTCAGGGCTGGGAGGGTCGTGGGGGGGACACACTCAGGGCTGGGAGGGTCGTGGGGGAGGACACACTCAGGGCTGGGAGGGTCGTGGGGGGTGTGGGAACCGACCTGTGAGATTTATATTTATTTAATTTATATGAATTTATATTTACGTTAATTTATATACTTCGATAGCAATTTGTATAATGATGAGTGGACTGTATTTCTGCAATAATCTCTTAATCTCACAAATCGATCCTCTACACATTAGGGGGGTTTATATTAATTGAATATATATGCAGCCAATCAAACTACAGTAATAGACTACATACATTGAAGAGGTTCCTTATCTTATAGTACAGCAGGTTAGTCCACCAGGTATAACTAGGGTGTAGACACCAAATTATCCTCTTTGAGGTAGCTTCCATCACCCAGTAACTGGTGCACAAAATCTTGCTTCCTCGTCTTGACCTGTCAAAAGGGCGCTAGCTGTGAAGCCAGATACCTATATATGACAAGCTATATCAGAGAAAACACTATACATGGAACAATAAAGACCTGGCTTAATTACCTTTAGTTTGAGGCTATGTCGTGCTCTAACCGGGTCACCCTATATAATGACATTAATGGCCATAAATGAAAGATACATGGGTTTCGGAAAGAACACTTAACTTGATTTGTAGACAGCGTGTTGATAATGGTACACTTTTAGTTTCCATAACACTTCGTCCAAGTAAAATTAACAGGAGCCGAATTTGCTCCCGTGTGAGCCTCTGGTCTAGTCTCAACAATGGCTGCGTCTAACACTCCATACTATTGACGCCTGGCTGACATTGTCCAGATATGATAGGAGCCGAATTTGCTCCACGCGTCTCGGATGTGACACAACAATGGCTGCCCTCCCTCACCCTGACGCCTGGCTTACATTGTCCACATGACAGAAAGTGATAGAAGGGTCACATTTACTCTACTTTAATATTGATAATTAAGTTAATTTATATAAGATGTTTTTATGATGGTAAAGTCCAAAGACTAATGTATTTAAGAATAATTCCCACCATAATAGGTGGAGAATATAATAGTATGTGGTGATGATATCCCGTTTTCTATAGACGGTAATTCCACTACAAGTTACGTTTTCTATGGGTTACTTGTTGGTAATACAGCAGCAATTATCTGTATGATATATTAAATGGTGTCGGATTTTCCGACAGGGGGGACACACTCATGGCTGGGAGGGTCGTTGGGGTGGACACACTCATGGCTGGGAGGGTCGTGGGGGTGGACACACTCAGGGCTGGGAGGGTCGTGGGGGTGGACACACTCATGGCTGGGAGGGTCGTGGGGGTGGACACACTCATGGCTGGGAGGGTCGTGGGGGTGGACACACTCAGGGCTGGGAGGGTCGTGGGGGTGGACACACTCAGGGCTGGGAGGGTCGTGGGGGTGGACACACTCATGGCTGGGAGGGTCGTGGGGGGACACACTCAGGGCTGGGAGGGTCGTGGGGGTGGACACACTCATGGCTGGGAGGGTCGTGGGGGGAGACACACTCAGGGCTGGGAGGGTCGTGGGGGTGGACACACACAGGGCTGGGAGGGTCGTGGGGGTGGACACACTCATGGCTGGGGGGGGTCGTGGGGGGGGCACACTCAGGCCTGGGAGGGTCGTGGGGGAGGACACACTCAGGGCTGGGAGGGTCGTGGGGGTGGACACACTCAGGGCTGGGAGGGTCGTGGGGGTGGACACACTCAGGGCTGGGGGGGGTCGTGGGGGGGACACACTCAGGCCTGGGAGGGTCGTGGGGGTGGACACACTCATGGCTGGGAGGGTCGTGGGGGAGACACACTCAGGGCTGGGAGGGTCGTGGGGGTGGACACACTCAGGGCTGGGAGGGTCGTGGGGGTGGACACACTCATGGCTGGGGGGGGTCGTGGGGGTGGACACACTCAGGCCTGGGAGGGTCGTGGGGGTGGACACACTCAGGGCTGGGAGGGTCGTGAGGGGGGACACACTCAGGGCTGGGGGGGTCGTGGGGGTGGACACACTCAGGGCTGGGAGGGTCGTGGGGGGACACACTCAGGGCTGGGGGGGTCGTGGGGGGGACACACAAGTTGCACTGAGAGATTAAGTTAATTAACTGCGTGACATAAATATATTATGAATGAGTTTAATGCTGCCACAACTGATAAAAGATTATCGCAACCAGATCACAGCTTATATCTCGTGCACGTTACTGGCTGCTCTCTCACAGCCGCTGGGAGAGCTGGGAGGACTGGGAGGGCTGGGAGGGCTGGGAGAGCTGGGGGAGTTGGGAGAGCTAGGAGGGTTGGGAGAGCTGGGTGGGCTGGGAGAGCTGGGAGAGCTGGGAGGGTTGGGAGAGCTGGGTGTGCTGGGAGAGCTGGGAGAGCTGGGAGTCCTGGGAGAGCTGGGAGGGTTGGGAGAGCTGGGTGTGCTGGGAGAGCTGGGAGGGCTGGGAGAGCTAGGAGGGTTGGGAGAGCTGGGTGGGCTGGGAGAGCTGGGAGGGTTGGGAGAGCTGGGTGGGCTGGGAGAGCTGGGAGGGCTGGGAGAGCTGGGAGTGCTGGGAGAGCTGGGAGGGTTGGGAGAGCTGGGTGTGCTGGGAGAGCTGGGTGGGCTGGGAGAGCTGGGAGGGCTGGGAGAGCTGGGAGGGCTGGGAGGGCTGGAAGAGCTGGGAGGGCTGGGAGAGCTGCGAGAGCTGGGAGGGCTGGGAGGGCTGGGAGAGCTGGGAGAGCTGGGAGGGCTGAGATAGCTGGGAGGGCTGGGAGAGCTGGGAGAGCTGGGAGGACTGGGAGGGCTGGGAGAGCTGGGAGGACTGGGAGAGCTGGGAGGGCTGGGAGGACTGAGAGAGCTGGGAGAGCTGGGATGGCTGGGAGAACTGAGGGAGCTGGGAGAGCAGGGAGCAGGTTGCTGGTGCTGGTAGTGGGTGAGGCTGGTGGTGGGTGAGGCTGGTGGTGGGTGAGGCAGGTGGTGGGTGAGGCAGATGGTGGGTGAGGCAGGTGGTGGGT